CAGTCAGTCCTCAGCACTTTACTGATTTAATGATTGTTGATTTTGTCCGATGAGTTTAACATTTCTGCTCTTAATCACTCTTAGGTGCTGCTTCCTCATTAAGTGATACTCCAAATAAACTGGGTAAATCTAGCTTCACTTCATCCTGTCTTCCCATTGCCATGGATTGTGGATATGCCGGCGTAGTTGTTGGTGGTTTGATAGCCGCCGCCGCCGCCGTCGCCGTGTATAAATATAGACGTAAGTTACAGCCTGTTGATTGTTACAGTAATTGCATATTTCACCGCAAAACTCCAAACTAGTCTTACTTCTAATGGTATTAATGAGTATTTTATTGATGTTGTGTGTAGTAGGGCACACTGAATACTATGAGGATTTTCCTTTCATTATTCAATCCATCCAAAACATACAGTATAACAAATGCAATGAGGAAAGGAACTGTTAATCTAATTTACTTAAATGTAGTTTGCTGTGTAATAAGACTTTCTTTGTGTTTCTGTGTTGTTCAGTATCACATCTTTTTTTTTTTACTAAAGGTGCCATGGTTACCACACTACTCGCTGTGAAGACTGATGTAGAGGAACAGGTAGATCAACTCAGAAGAGAACTTGAGGAAGTCGAGACAAACAGAGAGGAGAATAAGACGAAGCTTCAGACAGTGGAGAGAGAAATAAAAGACAAAGAAATGACATTTGACAAACCAGAGAACTTATTAAGAGAAAAAGAAAACCTGTTAAGGGTTCAGTGGCAACTGGACGAGAAAAAGAAAATTTATGAGCGACAGAAACTGAAGATAGAGAAATTGCTGGAGTCCCTAGAGAATCGTTTTTCTCGGATTAACACGACAAGGGTTATTCCAATCTGAATGGATTAGCCAAAAAGGTGAAAAAAAAAAAATGAAAGCAAATCAACTCCCACAATTGAACAGATAAAAGTTGATAATATTTTTTTGAGGCTGTAAAATTATGATGTCAAACATTTTGGAAATTTAAATAAAACGTAATGTAAAGTGTTTCAGTACAAGTTTTTCCTTTTTTTCCCCACTTGTTACCATTGGATTATACTACTTTTAAAGCTATGCTCTGGGAAATATTTTCAGTCCAAAAAGAAGATAGCCTTCACAGGAGGATGAAAAATGACAGACGAGATGAACGCGCAGTTGAGAAAAGCCAATGATTCCTGCTTGGAAGACCTTGTTTAAGGTTAGGGAAACGTGCTGACCCACCCATTTACCCAGATCTTCAGTTTTAAGGGTCTAAATTGAATCTTAATTGAGTCTTAGTTTGTGCAACCCCTGGATGTTTGAATCAGATAAATGTAAATATACATTATTTTTAAACATTTGTATAACCATTTTTTTTCTCAGGAAGATAGCATCGGATCATAATGTTTCATAACAGTTCCAAACCTGGTATAGAAGGACATGCAGAGAAGAAGGACGGATTGTTAATTGAATCTGTGGTCCTTTGATATGAAATGCCCTCTGTACTGATGATATTATATTTTGATTACATACAGTTGAAACCAGAAGTTTACATACACTGTATAAAAAGACACATATGCTTTTTTTTCTCACTGTCTGACACGAAAT